CCCTCGGGAATTCGAGGTTTGCTTTACCAATTATGGAGATGTCTCACTGCAATCGGGTCTCTTACCAAACATCTTTACACCGTTATTACCTATTGACTGCGCGATTCCTGCAATTATTTTATGTTATGGAAGTATTGCGTTCAAGTTTGGCGGTGCATTGATGGGGAGCAACGATCCCGTGAGTCCTCAACCACGCACGAGGGACACCACGGTACCAAACACGGCGGTGAAACTAACCGGACGCACATCAGTACGAGGAGAGAGTCTGTCTGCTCGACAATTCCGTAAAGGTGAGCTATCATTGCAGGGGGCGGACCGCAAACTTGTATATTCATTAGCAGTGGACCTCAATCCGACCCCCAAACAATTCCCTCTCCCCTCTGAGGCACTGCTCAGACGTTCGGCTGGCCTTTGTTTCTGTCATGATGGCAAGCATGAGCTTGCTATTTTGGAGCCCAGTCGCGGTGATCATCGTGTACGAGATCATTATGCGAGACTACCCACGACCTCACATTATTGTCGGCATCTGTTATGCTATCATAATTGTCCATGGACCCGTGAATGGAATCGTGGTACCATTGCTGAATTGCAGTCTGAAATCTGGAATGCAGACGTTGTTGAAGTCGTTGTTCCCCTGCCATCGCGACAGACGAGACCCTCTGGCTGAGTTTGGACAGTTGAGTAGTGTAAAATACGGATCTCAGCGAACACTGCGTTCTCAACGATCAGTGATGCGCACGTCTTTGATCATCAACGCAGAGCCGACAAATGCAGGAGTTGGCGATCACGAGTTGTTATAGCATCTGCTCGTATGATCTCATCGCATTTGCTGAGTAGATGTCGTGATGTATATCGTTTTGTGATACATGTGTGTTCAACTCCAGATGACATAGACACTTTAGAAATCATGAGAGAAAGCAGTTGCTTCCACACTAACTACGGTCGGTAGTTGGACAAACCAAACAGACAAATGAGAAAGCCGCGGAACGTAGAGTGGGAGAAAACAAAATGACAACTCCACACGTGTGAGACCTCAAAAACTCGCGGGCGGCAGGGATCGAACCTGCGACCCCCTGATCCGAAGTCAGATGTTCTTTCCTCTGAACTACGCCCGCCCCGAACAACTTTAACTTCTGTGGTTTAAAAATACTTAATGTAAATCAATTTCAGTTGCACTGTCTGTCACGGATTCAAAATAAATGAGCTCTCAAATTGAATCCATAATCTTGATACCCGTGTGATGCCCTTTGACATGAACAGGACTTCGTTCGTGTTCCAGTCCAGTCCGATCCAGTGTCTCATTACGTCAGCGAACGAATAGCGCCCGTCCCGGCAAGTCCACAAAGTCCACACATCAGTTGTGATCGGAAGTCGACAGAAGTCACTCTGAAATAGCAATATTTGCGACAAATGGGATGCAGCGAGCAGACTACGACTTCTGGCGAAAACAAGAAACTCACGCGTGATTCCCGTTTCCGCTGAAAATTCATGTCCATGAGTGCCAGCTGGTCCGCTCCCGGATTCCGTATCTTCTCCAGCCGCTTGCCCGTTTGCACGTCCTTGATTCTCTCGTCGTGAAATGCGATAGTAAGGCCTGCGAGAGATGATGTCGAGTTGTGAGCGGACAAATCATACACATCCATGCCAGCAGGCAACGATTAGTCATCCCAGTGAAAGATCGGCCAAAAATTTGACTCATAGAGCTTCTTACTGCATCCACTCTGATCCACTTGCGGACAAACTGCCTGTTTCCGCGATCCCAACGCCTGTTTCTGAAAATGTCCATCCCGAGAGACCAATGACTCCTTCCTCCTGACTGAAACAGCCCCAGACGCAGGTGGCCGGTGCTCCACTGGTTTGTCTTGTGGTTGCGCTGCGCTTGATCCAGAGCCCCAGGCCATAGAGCAGCGCCGGGGAAGTTGATTATGTTCAAGTCGAAGAGCAAGCCGCATATATATCTGGAGAATACGACCTTGAGAACACAATGCAAAGACATATACAGCTGAGCATATCTGTTTGACAGCCAAACAGGGTTCGTCATCTTTGGTCGTCATCCTCAGCTTCAAGCAACGTCATCCATGTCGTCGAACCCACCGTCACCCACTTACCCGTTTCATCCACCCCGCCAAAGATCAACGGCATCAATTTAATACATCGTCCATTTGAAACACGGCAAAATGGCACTCTTTTGTTCTCGATCAAACCCCCTGAATGCAAATGCGCAGAGGGTGGATATGAGGGGGATTTGGGGACCCCCTGATCCGAAGGATGTTCTCTCCTCTGAACTACTCTAGACTCGGGACAGCACAGTGGCAGCATCTTCCGCCCTCCCACCCGTGGTATCGTCCCTCCTCAACGATAGTCATGTCTGTGGTTCTGGCCCTACACCCTTTATCAATCGCCTCGTAGCGCAATGCGTTGCCACGTTATCTTTTCTCGCAACGATCACGTCATATGAGGCCGACTCTGGAACCAAATCAAATGCGGGTCAAACCTGCAAGAATGGACGGACTTGCAGGTACATCAAATGCACACAAGAGCATGACTCGAAAACAGGAGAGGCGGATGCTTTGCAGGCGTTTAAACTGGCAGCGACATTCATAGTGCGAGAGACAGATGAAACAGCCAGGCTTACCGAGGCAGGTGGGTACATTGAACGGCTATTTATCCCCGCCAGATCCCTGTGTTTCAGAATGAGCTGATACTATCATGCAATTTTGATGCTTTTCGTCTATCGTCGCTGCCCAGACATCGCCAAAATCATCTCAAACTCCCTTACTGGCCTAGAGCGCGCCACACCAGAGGACGCTCCTATCCTTGCTCGCTCACTCCTTGCCCCGTTGACGTGTCTTGTTTCTCTCTCGCAAACCCGTCCGGACCTTGTTGAATCTCTCGTTGGTAGAGCTCTCCGCAACTTCTTCACCCCATCTCCGACTGCAGTTCTTTGGAATCACAACAGCGATCGTGATTGCGACCTTTCGTCCTCCACCACCTTGGACTCACTAGAAAGCCGGGACGAAGCTCGTGGACTCCACTTTGTGGTGTCAGAAACATCGTCTCGCAACAATCCACGTGTTTTTGCTCGCGTCAAGATTGGGGACCAGAAACAGATTGTACTGCGTGACGCTTTTTTGAAGCTCGTCCGTGACAAATACAACGGGATCCCACCTTTACCCCTGGTGGATCACGATCGTGCTAGCCCAGCCATTATAGCCCCGCAACTTCCTCCATACACCTCCGGAATGGCACTCCTTCTCTTCAACAGATCGATTCACCTAGATCCCCCCCACCCCACCCGACCAAGCACCCACTGATGTTGATCCCATTCGATCCCGGATACTATTTCGTAGGTCGAACAAATCCTTGACGGCCATCACACCCCACGAGTGGGATACCCTTGCCGCCAATCACGTCATCGAGCTGAAAGAGCTACCAGACGTTTTAGCGGCACTGATGAAACCCTCGCGGGAGAATATGTTGCGGGACTGCGCAGGTGTGAGGTCGGATTTGGGCTGGTTGATGGGGAGGTTCGTGGAGGAGGAGGGTTAGAGTGAGTAATTGGGTGTTGTGAGACGACGGCTAAAAGCGGGAGTTTAGCCGGAGTCACGTGACCCCACGAGCACGACGACTGTCGTCCCC